AAATACTGCTTTTCTTTTGGATAAAACAGATTGATCTAGAAAGACTTTTTTTCCTCCTGTAAATGAGACTAGTATGAAATGAACTTAAGTGATGCTGTAAGCATCTGTTTTGAGTTTTTCTCCCCCCTTCCCTAGAAAAGGTATCTCAATACAAAATTCATCTGAAATAGTTGCATGTTTAAATTGTTGGGAAAAGAAGATCCTCTTGCTTTTTTTTTTTTTTCCACCCATAGGCCATAATTTCAGTAATATTGAATTGCAGAGCACATGTTAGTAACGAAGGAGAACTAGCTTATTTGGTTGGCAACTTTGTTTGTTTTGTTAGAGACTTAGCACTTGTTGGGTTCAAAATCTTTATTTTAGGAGAACCTGTTTTCCTTCAATTTGACCTATACTTTGTGTCTGTGTTAGTGCAGCTCTGTTCATGCCAGTGGAGTTATGCTCCCTTACACAGGGACAGGTTTATATGGGGTGGTTCTCTGTGTTGTTGTTGTTTGTTTTTCCCTGAGAAAATTTATGCAGGTGTGTTTTGGAAATTCTTCCCTAAATGAAGTTCTGTACCGAAGATTCATAGTTTTTTGTGTGTATATTAATGTTGTGCACAATACTTCTCATCAATGATTCATCATCAGTTTTCAGTATTTCCTCATGTTCACAACATTGGGAACTTCTCTGATCAACTTGGGGCCTGGTTTGTTTAGTAAGACAAATTGTCTGTGATTAAGGCTTTTTTAGTTCTCATTATTAATTTTGGAAATTACTTTTATGCTGTCAACAATGCTTTCAAACGTAAAATAGCATAGGCCTTTTAGTGAGAGGCAGTGAAATATAGGTGACACTTAGTCTTGTCCCATACAGACGTCTGTATTATTTGTGATCAAAGTACTATATTTTCTGGTGAGAGTATTTTGAATCTAACTTGCATGTTTGTTTCCACAATTCCTCTATTACACAGTTGCTTCAGAATTGACTTAACTGGTTTCTTAGCTGGATAGAATTAAAAAGGCTGATGGAGTGGAGTTGGATGAACGATAGCTGACAACAACACAGTTAAAGAGAGGAATTTGAGTGCTATTTTAGCCAAGGGAAACAATGAAAAAAGGGGTCAGAAACAGTTGCTACTTCTGAGGCATCCTTAGATCTATTAGAGTTCTCACTTCTCATTCCTTGAAACTGGGTTTGATATTTTTCCTTTTAAAAGGCTCAAACCACTGAAAATGCTGTCTTAACATTTAAGAACAGGTTCTACTGAATACACTTTTTCACAGGTTATGTAATTTAAGATATTTTTTTCCTTGTGAAAAGTCTGTTACATATTTTAACTTTCTGTATTTTTAGTGTACGTTTACTAACAAATCTCTTCCTTCTAAAGACAACTTCACAATTCCCTGCTGTTAGAGTTTATTTTAAAATATGAAATATGTCTACCAAGGAGTGTTCGTCAGTATAGCCTTATTTAACTTCCTTATACCTCTGATTCCTAACTAACCTCAGGATATGCAGTATATCATTGCACATAGATAGTACAGCTCTGTGTAAACAGGAAATATTTCGAAGATGTCTTGCGTGTTTGTTAGACCCTAAAAATACCTTCTGATAACGACTATTGTTTCTACTACCACTACTTCCTTCTCTGCTCTTGGACACTAAGTGACACTCAGATGAACTTGTCTTAATATACTGCAGTGGAAAGGCCAGTTGGACAGAGTTTGAATTAGGTTTTCCTTGAGAGAGGAAACGATACCTTTTCTGAGAGCTCTGCATTACGAGCAAGAATATTTCTGATGGCCTTTGCTATCCTTAGATAAAGGGATTTGCTATTTGAAGGTGATTGAAATTAAGCATTTTTTAACAACATGATATAGAGATTATAGAAAGTGCCCATCAATGCAGGAGTACCAATATTATTTAACTTCATAACTCATACATTAGGCAGGTAGTATCCTAGTTTTCTTATACCTGTTTTTTCTTTATACTGATATTAAAAGAGAACAGGCAAAAAGATTTCTGTGTAAAGACAGAAGTGTTTTGAGGTCAGTCTTCTATATGTTCAGCTTTCCCTCATCTCTGTATTCTTCAACCTTTTTTTTAGGGGACAAACTCAAACATCAGGGAGTTGTATAGCATACAGCGTGCAGTAAGCTGTTTGTGTGGCTGCTTTGACAGCTGAGGCAATGGTACTTGCCACCTAATTAATCTGTGCAGTATACACTGTCTTCAGTTACTCTGGAAACTGAGCTACTGAAGGGAACTATACTGAGCTTGTCTGTTAGATAGCTTCAACTTAAGAAAAATAATGTGTGTGTGTGTACATCCCACCTCGTATTACAGTGCAACTGTCTTCTTCCCCTCACAAGGTCCCTGCTATCAAAACAGTAACAGCATCTCATATGTGCAGTCTAGAAAGTAGCAAGAGAACCCATGTGGGAGCACTTGGAGCACAGGTTGGAAGGATCACTGGAGGAAAACCCTGAAGTCAGAAGCAGCATGAGATCTGGGAACATAAACTGGTGAGAGGAAATGCAGGGGTGTAGGAAGAGTTCAGAGAATAGTAATCTGCTAGCATCACAAAAAAGAAGAAAAAAGTAATACTTTAACTTGTCAACCATACTTTGACTGAAACTGAAAGATGTCAAATATAGACATCAGCCCTAGAGGGAAATGTTTCAGCATTGTTTATCAATACATGCCCTACTGCAGCTGGTTTTAAAGTGTACTGCCTGGCCTTGGCAAAGATCACCCCATGTTCCTCTCCGTCCTTTTCTATTTTGTTTATGTATATAATTATAGGGTAAATACACACACATGCACACTTTAAAGCATCTGCTTAGTCTACCCTTTTTCTCTTGTTCTCATTTACTTGTAGCCCACTTTTTAAAAACAAACAAACAAACAAAAAAAACACAACACAATTCTGGCATCTGTGTCACAAATCATTCCAGTTAAACGGCCTTCACATTCTGGACTATTAATCTTCGTAATGTCTCCATATATGAAGGGTAGATAAGACGGACACGGTATTGCTCCATGTTACTGAGAATAGGTCTGGTTTTTGTTTCAGGAAGTGACAGTGGTGGTTTTTTCTTTAATCTGATAAAATCTCTTTTTCAATGTAGCCTTATATTGGAAAGTAAGTGGTCAAGGAAACCAGGATATGCCCAGTCCAACGATTTATATAATGGCTAAGGCCAACAAAACGCAGAACCGTGCCAGGCTGTTTCTTTTCAGCTGCAGAACAGACTGGTGTTCTGCGTCCACTCTTGAATGGCCAAATGCTTGTTAATCTTAACATCTACGTACATTTGGTTTGGTTTGGTTTTTGACAAGCAGTATCATCTTGAATTGTTCTGTGTAGAGCTGAAAACTCAGCCTTGTGTATTCAGATAAGATTGACGGAGTTGTCCCATAACAGCAAGTCTTGAAATACCCGGTGTTTAGACTGATCTTTTTTCTCCATGGTCATTGTCAGGGTATCTGCATCTGTTAGGGGAGTGTGTGGGGATTATTGGTCTAGATGCTGCCTTAATGGATTACATGACTTCAGTAAAACGCTGTAATTACACTTAAACCAGAGTTTATGTTTACCATTTTATTTTTCTAATATTTGTAGTAGGATTTTTTGTGCAGTAACATGTACAAGTTAATTTCCTTTGCCATGATTAGTTAGCTATTCAACAATTCAATAAATAATGATTTAGATCTAGGGGAATTTGAAGAACTTCCTGTAGGCACCACAGGAGCAATCAATATTGCTCTGTCACTTTAAACTGAGCACCTTAGAAGAAGGAGAACCTTTTCTAAATAAAATCTCTCGGTATGTTTGTAAGGTCTTTCATATTATAGTTTCGTGCTAATACCTGTGAAATAGCACACGCAATGGCTTGACTTCCAAGTCCACTGGGACCAAAATGGAACATCAACAAAGTCTGCAGCAATAAACATGAACATAAATTTTGGTTTCTTGGAACTGTCTTCACACATTGTAACTAGTGGAAGCTAGTCTTGAACTTAATTGTTGTTTCAGCTCACACCTACACTTAATATAAATACAGAGGTTCATCTCTTCCTCTCAACACAGGGCTCTGAACCAAAGATTGCAGTTAGTTGAGGTTTTCTTCCAGAGAGATTTACTAACTTACCTTGGAAAGATGGAACTGCAAATTGAACTTATTCCTACAGGAGAAATCATCCGTGTGGTTAGTCGCAATGGAGAACACAAGACTGTAAGCCTGATTTTTTTATTGTTCTCTTTTCTCTTCTTGTATTGTTAGTTGCATGCTAAACAACTTAGGAACTGTTGTGCTGAAATGAGAAATGCTAGTGCAAAGAAAAAAAAAAAAGAGGTTTCCACAAGACTGGTCGCTGAAGTGACTGTAGCTGTTTTGTGAACAGTTTTCTCATTGTAATAAAAATTGGTAGCAATGAATGTTATTATCAAGTGGCTGGGAGTTTAGGAAATTATTAAAGTGTATTTCCTGTAGAAATCCTTCAGTGCACCAAAGCTGATGTAACCTGGAGTTGTAACGGCCCAGCTGTGTTCGTTCTGTCAGGATTCTGGAAGCACTTTCAAACAACAAAGGAGGGGAAACAATTTTCAGAAGTGTTTGATTCTCTTGAATATTGATTGTCCATGTTGTCACTGGATTCATGCTCTGAATGTTGTGGGGAGGTTCATGCATCAAAAACCTCATGCTGGCAGAACAGTATCAAAGGACTGTTAATACTGCCTTGAAGTATTCCTTGAAGGAATACTGTCTATTCCGTTAGCTTGTGACTCTTACTGACTTAGGTTCAAGGTTTGTGTGAAAGCAAATGGAAAATCTGTGAGCTTCTCTCTAGTTTGATGTGGTAGATGCAAATATTTAGGCAAGGCACACTACTTCTGTAAAAAAAAATTTTTGGTTTTCAGTACTTGCAATGAACGGCCAGTTCTGTGTGTTTTGCTTTTAGAATATTTTAACTGGATTTTTATATTTTAATTAAGAATCTAGAGACAAAACTGTGTAAAAACTTTTTTTTAATCCTTCTGTGTTTAAATGCTGCAAGTGGTCTTTTTTCTGTTGTCAAAGCTTCGTTGTATGGACTTGGAAAGACAGTTGATTATGGTTAATACTGCTCGTTATGCTTTTTTACAGGTGAATTAGTAACCACTCTTACCTAAATGCAACCATGTATTTATATTTCTTTATCATAGGTACTTAGAACGTGTTTAATCTATCTTCAGTTCTGGTAGCAGATTGCTCAGGGCAGAGCCATCACGTACGGCAGCACACATCTGTGCACGTTGCTCCAGTTTCCGAGTATTGTCTTTCTAGTAAGTAATCTGAAACATGATGTGAAAATTGGCTAAGACACTTTGTGTGAATAACACAATTATTGGGCAGTCATTGTACTTCAGAAAAACCTGAGAGCTCTGCCTTGTTGGAAGATGAGATAGTGGCAATTCTGGTATTCTTTGGTTTCCAGTAAATGGTCCGGGACTGTACGGTGAGTGGCATGTAGTGACAGCAGAGGACACTGGCTGGCCTGAATCCTCTTTCCCAGAGGGAACCGTTCCTTTAAACCTTATCCTGAATAGCATGCCCCAGGATCCTGGGGGAGACATCAGAGAGTGAAAAGCTGTTAGTTCAGCTTTCTAAAGAGCTTTAAATCTTCATTAGCAGTCCATAAAATCGTAATTTGCTACTTTGAGGACAGCACTCTCTATTCAAGTGCTGTTGGTGCTGCAGAAATGACCAGAGAAAAAGTTTACGATGCATTGTGCTTTAACACAAACCTCAGTTTGTAGCAGAACACACTTTGAAGGGTTGCAGAATGGTTCAGCTCCGTGTGCTCATCTGTTAGAATCCAATCATGCAGACTTTGTGGATCCTGGACAGACCACCTCCAAAATTAACACGCCTGTGGTGAACCGAGATGCTCATCGCTCTACCTGAACTTGGTGGCAGAGCTCCCGCTGGCTTTGGGGGATCTGCTCGGGAGCTGAGCTCGCTCTTTGGCCTTCTCCCAAAACAACCCTTGGGCTGTTTCCCACAGCAGCAGGGAGGGGATGGTGAAGTTGTCAGCGGCGCCCCGCGTTTATCTCTTGGAGGGCTGGAGGAGACAGGTGCGCCCGGCGTGCGAGCTGCAGCGATACACAACCTTATCAGCAGGATGCCGCTGTCCTGAACAATGCAATCAGCCCGAGCTGGTTCCTGCCTCCCCCTCCGTGCTCTCCGGGACCGAACCGGTTGCCAGCGAGGTCAGGGGCTCCCCCAAAAACCCCGCTAAACCGCGGGGGGGGGATCCCCCGGAGCTGACTGCAGGTGAGGGCGGAGGCAGGGCCGCTGCTGCCCGCCTGCACTCCGCATGCCCGCCGCTCGGACATGCTCACTAGCGGCTCACCAGCGGCTCACTAGCGGCTCCCTCCCGCCGCCACTCGGCGCCCCGACACCGGCGGAGCCGCCGCAGGGCCCCGAGCCGCGCGTCCCGGGGCGCGGAGCGCAGGTGAGCGGCCGCAGCGGCGGCTACGGTGGGAGTAGGGGAAGGGAAAGGGAAGGAGGAAAAAAAAATAAAGGAACCGAGCGGCTCGCCCAAGGGGGAAAGGTGGCTGCCGAGCGGTGCCTCGGCTCGGCCACATGGCCGAGGGTTGCCCCGGGCACGCTGCGGGCTTTGGGGTGCTCGGGGAGGCTCCCCCCGGGGAGCAGAGGGCGCTCAGCGGCCCTCTTGTTCCCCCCCCCCCCCCCCACGCTGAAGTCGGCGACGTTCCCGGAAACTCTGCGATTTCCCCGACAGAAATAAATGACCCTTTCGCGGCAGCAGGCATCCTGGAGGCTGCATGGTGTGTCTCCGGCAATCCCCGCCCTCTCTTTCCGTAACGTTACCAAATACACTGTATTTTCTCCCAAAAGCAGCGAGCTGCCGAGCTCCTGCCCGGGACGGGGGTGCTTCCTCCCGTGGGACCAGGCAGCAGGAGCTGGAGCAAGAAAGGGTGCGGCTGGGTGCGGGGGCAAGAGCAAGGCAGCTCCTGAGCTGAAACGTGGCCATGTCACGGCCGGTGTGTCAGAGGGGTTGTGCCTTGTTCTAAGGAATGGGGTTTGTGCTGAGCTAACTTGTTTTCAGCCTTCTCGTGCTGTTCTGTGCTCGCTGGCAGGGTGTTCCGCCGTGGTTAGTGCTGATGTTCCTGCTGGAATAAGTCTTCCTCGTTTTTCCGTGGTTGTACAGGTGCCTAAAAGCACCTGAGGAGGAAAGCTCGGTGGTTTTAGTCCTCTCTCGTAGTTGGGGATGTTCTCAAGCACCGTAACTTCAGCTCAGATCACAGCTGTGTTCCCTCTCAGACTGAAGTGGCCCCATCTGTTGTGTTACTTTCTGTGTCTGTCTTCCCCATTTCTAACATACCTGGAGTTAATTGCTGCGAGTCATGGTTATTTAGGGAAGGAACCGGACTCTGCTGGACAGATGGCTTGTTCTAGAAACTTGAACTTTCCATGTAACCTGGTTTGATCTGCATCCTCGTGCTTGGGGGGGATTATGGAAGGAAAATGATTCTGAGTTACAATCCAGGGAGTGTTTTGGTATTTACTCTTTCTATGACTGCTGCTGGAGGTGGATGGCTTCTCCAGATCTTGTAGATGACGGCCACCTAGTTCTAGCAGGCGACAAATAAGAAAATTTGCTTGGTTGGTGGGACAAGCCCCGAAAGCAGATCCACATGTTGGAGTAAGTTAGCATAAAAGCATTTTTCTTTCATCTTATTTCCGAGCAGTAAGCGATTACCAGCTGTCAGCACCCTTTAGATACTCTTTTAGAAACTGTCAAAAGCTTACAAAACTGATGAGTTCTTAATTTTTACAACAGGCCGTTGAATGGCAACCACTGTCATGATTCTTTGAATGTTGAGTTTTGATACTTGGCATAATCGTGTCTTTTAGGAAGGGCCTGTGTAAACATAAATCTTCTAGTCTGCCTGACAGCGGCCAGTGGAATGCTAGCCTACATGCACGCTATCCTCATTTATCACAACGTGCAGGATAGATCTTTTCTTTGGGGGGGAAAAAAAAAGTGAATCATAGTATACTAAGGGAGTGAGAGATCCCGTGTGACTCAGGACTCTGGAGCACAGTTTCTGCTCTCTGTTATCTTGCATAACTAACAGTGAAGAAACTTACGTGACTGTAGACTTCTCTGATACCTGATGCATCTTCAGATTTTACAATGTGTGTAAGAGAAATGATACAGATCCCGATGAAATCATTCAGGTCAGGTAGAAGACTTTCTTTTTTAAATTTGTTCGAAGCCCATTGGAGGAAGAACAGTAAAAAGTGGGGGTTGAGAAAGCTTAGTAACAGATCAAATATGGAGATTCTTTCTAAGAATAAGCTCAAACTCCCTGGAGGCCTCTATGCAAAGGCAAAATAGCCTTAGTCTTGCTCCAGCAGTATTCAAGCATCAGGAGCTGCCTATCATTTGTAGTGTCATGTTACTTACAGAACCTGGCCTTGCTCTGGTGCAAACTGTGCTTTCTAGGAACTGTACAAATTCCGCCTGCACTGTTAGAATGGACAATCTGCACCAAACGCAGGAGGAACAAGCTGCAGCAGCTGGACACAGTCACAGAGCAATGTACAAATTACAGCTCCCCTGCGTTTCAGTCCACTGCCCCTTCCCTCAGTCGTGTGCTCTCACCTGACCATTTTTGAATAGCTCCAGCCTGCAAAATGCTGAGGATCGATGGGCTTGAGCACTCTGCCTCGCAGTTTGAGAGAATGATGGGTGAGTACTGTCCACAGGGCGCTTTCCAGTAACTAATGTCTTCTGGAGGATATATTTATATTTGGGAAGAGACAGCGTGTTACTGGTGCTGCAGAAAAGGAGGCGGAGAGAATGTAAAAGTACAACAGATCTTCTGAAGGTTGGTGCGTCCTGCTGCCCTTTGCAAGTGCAAGTTACTAAACCAGTTCTTTCACACAGGCTAAAGAACCATATAGAGAGGTGTGTATGTCTAAAAGGGTGCTGTGGGGAAAACCCTTTGCATCATGCTTTGGCTTACCCATGTTGATGGCAGGCAATTGCAGTGAACTTTTCAGAACTGATCCAAGTTAAAACCAAATAGAGGAAGCAAACGGGTAATTTCTCTGGAAGAGTTTCTTCCTTCTGTGAGTGCATGAATGCCTCCACCTGCACAAGGAGTACAACCACGCAGGAAGAGATGGCTGGGGTCAGGTGTGGAGAACTCCTTAGGCAGCAGCGGTGCTTGGTACTGGCACAAAGTGATTGCACTTATAGTGTGTATTTGTCTTCTGTCAAGGGTTTTTCTGTGTTCCGGCTCTCATCTCTTTATAACCAAGTCATGACTGATGTGGTTGGCCTTGACTAGGATTACCATCCCTGACTTCGATTAAAAACCATACATCTAACCCTCTATCATTTCTAGTGGGTGAGGTTTGCATGGGTTGTCTCCCTGCGAGATTGAATGTAGTTATTTTTTTGCCCGGAGGGAGCCATGCTTACTGTGCCTCTGTCTGGATTGAATGATCTCTCTGGAAAATTTCCTGCTACGCAGTTTGCATCCTGCTCTGCATACTTTACATTTGTTGATGCATTAGTGGGGTAGGTGGCCAGCTCTTCCCAGAAAGCATTAATACAGCTGTAAGCAAGCAGCGTAAGGCAGAGTGAAATGCTAACCAAGTTTGTGACAAGATTCTGAGTGGACAGACCTCAAGTAATTTGTTGCCACTGAGTCATGTTCTGCTGAAGGGCGGCGGGGGGAGGAAAGTTTCAGTATCCTTTAAAGTCTTACCCTGCATTATTTAAATATGCTTCAATACAGCAGGGAACAGCAGGGCCAGTACCTTTTCTGTTTAATGTACATCTTCAATATAGTCTGTCCTATATTAAATTGCTATACTAGACGATGAGAAATGTTAATTAGAACTCCTGTGTCATTCATGCACAGCTTTCCCTGGCAGCTTTTTTCTTAGGAAAGAACTCGGTCCCATGTGAATGACCAGCTAGCCGTTCACCAGGCCACTTGCAGCCCTGTAGCTGGCACCTTGACTTTGGTCCAGCTCAGCCACCACCCTTCCTGTAACTCAGTTCAGCAGCTGGTAATAAATGGACACGGATTTTTAGCATGTTACTGGAAAGCATTGTTACCAAATAGGCTGTGTAAATGTTGGTGGCAGGAAAAAAAAAAAAGTGGATATTTTGTCAGTGTGTTCTGATTTTTCTCAGGTAATGGATAGTCTTTGGGTGACAAAAGAAAAAAACGACACACTCCTGCCACCCCCAAGCAGATTTTTTTTTTCTCCATAAAAGAGCTTTCTAAAATCACTGTCATGCAAAAAGATGTATGCAGAGCGGACACAGTTACAATGGCATTCAGCCTGCTTTCTTATAGTCACTTTGAAAGGCTGGACCTTTACCTTCTGCTTTCAGTACGTTTTTTTGAAGTGATTTTCTGGCAAAAGTTTACCATGGATGTTTGACTTTATTTCCTTGTAGCATGCTTGTATCTGACCAGAGATTTCACCTTTACAAAAGGTCACATAGAGATGGGGCCCTGATCTTTGAGATAGTATGTACTGATACCTGGAGAACAGCCTTTGGAGGGGGACAATTTAAGGCTTCAGGGAAACTTTTGTCTTAGAAGCTGAGGTTGCCTTTCATTAGATAGAGTGATCTGTGGTGCCTTATGCCAGCTGACAATTGTCAAGTGTCTTTGGCCATTTTGCTAATGAAGGGGAGGATTATTGAAGGAGCTATAATTCAGCTGGAGAGCTGCATTTGTTAGAGGATTTTGGTGAGCTCACGACTGCGTGTTTTTCCTTCGTTACCGTATGCTCAGTATTATATAGTCTTGACCTTTGTTTTCATCACCACCTGTGCCTGGTCTAGCTGGGATATTCCTGTCCAAGAGAGAATCACCTTTACTTCAGAGTTATAATGAAGAACTGAGAACAGAAAAGCAGGTAAATTCAGCTCTCGCTGTGATTATTGTTCAGGGCTCAAAGGTCCAGATAAGTCAATGTCCAGTTGGATAATAAGGAGATAGTGATCTGTTTAGCTTTTCAGAAAATTAAATTCCACTGAAACAGTATAACTGGAACGACAGAAGTAGGAGGAAAGCTATTTTCCATTCTGAAATATGTCTTTGTATAGTGCAATGAGTTGAGTTTTTTAAACTTGCTAACAGTAACTAATAACTTTTACATTATACAGTCCACACTGAGTCATTGTTTACTCAGGGAAATGACTTTCAACAGCCAGACTTGTTTGCTAACTTTAATAACTGAAATATGCAGTTCCACACGTTACAAGGCAGCACACTATAATCAACATTTTTAAAAAACAAAAACGGATATGTATTTGCAACACTACAC